CGCGCGAGCTGCTCTTTTGTCACCGGTCTGGACTTGCTGGGTCTGGCTAAGCAGGCCCGGGAATCCGATCGGTGAGGTCCCCCACAGTTTCGACACCGGGTGAGGGCCTTGCACTCTGATTCTGAGTGCATATTTGATCCGCAATTCCAGCAAGCTGGAGCGCGGGAACAACCACGGGTGGCGTGAAATTCAAGACACCGTTTGCATTGTTCGATTTTGCGACGAGGTCGGAAGAGCTTTGCAGCTCCAGAGTCGTCGAGGAGCGGATTCTCGTGGAAATAGCGCTTGCCAATTTGAGTAGGGCGCCCCTGGTTTGCTAGTCCCATGAGGACGAACCAGAAAGGGAACCAACTGGGTCACTCCCGTGACTTCGTCGGCAACCATCTTTGCCGTCACGGCAATTGGGCCAGCAAGAGTTCGAATTGTCTCCGGGACGGTGGCAATTGGCATGGCAACCAGATTTGATGCTGGTTCCAGTTTGATTCCAGATTCGCTCCGTGATGTGGAGGAATCTAGGAGCTCTGTTCGAGCGAGTTCATCCTTTGCGGTTATTGCAAAGCCGGTCTTTACCTGCTGAACCAACGTGATATTGTTGGCAGCGGTTCCCAGCGCCTGAGACACCGCTAGCCTTACTCCAGCTGGGGAGAGGAGACGGTGGGGGTGGAAGTAGTCAAGGCGCAGAAAAAGTCGTGAATCGGCTTTTGACCTCGAGTTGGCACTCTTTGCCTTGGGGGCGGGTGGTGCTGCCTTTTTGTTGTAAAGTGTGTATGGGTTCTAAGAGGAAACTCACTCAAAGAATATAGGCACAGCTTCAAAGTACTTCGTAATAGTTCAATCAAATAAATTATTCACGTAAATCGTTCTTATTTTATTATATTATCTTTTTGGTCAGAATATTAAAGAATTACTACATCTAGGTTTCTACATATTACTCGTGTTCTTTGTCTGACGCTAAAACCAATTTCAGTCTAGTGCAATTGTGCGCCAAGTTATTCCTAAGCAGCCTAGCCGATCATCACCGACAATTGTGTAGCTCTAGAGTAAGCAACTGGTGCGAAATTCCAACACTTTTTTGTCAATGGCCCAGCGCTGCGGGCTAGGCCTACCCGAGCTACGGTGGCCCAAGTTGTCTTTTGGGCCGTAGCCTGGGTTGTTAGAGGGTTACGAACCCTTATTTCTGGTGCCCTCGGCGGAAGAGGGTTGGCGGGGCGAGCAGGGAGAACTGGTGGTGTGCTCCCTGGGCCAGATTGTACGAACTGGCCGATGGCTGCTCGAAGATAGACTTTTATACCGTCTACAAATTCTTTATTTTCGCCGATCGAAAGAGGCGAAAGTGCTGCTTCAACACTGTTTATTGCAGTCGAGCAGATGGCGAGGCGGGCCGTAATTTGCGTCGTACGTCGCTTTTCGGCCTCCATCACGGTTTGCAGCTCTGGGGGAAATTCCATTGCTGATGTAGATGCTACGCCTTTAGAGGCTGGCACAGCATTGTTTCCTGCAGATGATTCTGCACGTTCGGTTTTCTTTTCTCGAACAACTTCCTTTCCTTTCCTGGAGCTGCTTGCCAAAGGGGGCAGTTCGACGGGGGTTTTGGTCTTGGGACCATTGTTTTCTGCTCTGATCGGTTCGGAATCAGTCATCTCTTGATCGGGAAGATTTGTGGACTTCCCTGGGACAAAGGCCTCACTCGCAAATAGGCTTGATAATTTTTGCGCGAGGCCAGTAGGTTTTGGACACAATGGTGTCCGTTCAAAGCCGGCTGAAGTTGTCGGCTTTGGGCGATTTTTTCTCACCGGAGGCATTTTAAATACCTCGCGACGGTTAACAATTCGAGAAGTCAAGCACAGAAGTGGTCATAGGAATGGAAAAAGTGAAATAGGGATTTTTCGATTTTTCGAATGTGTCGAATTTATGAAGGGTTCGGTTGTTGAGTTTTCTATTATTTCTGTGTTGGGATACACTTTGACGATTCTACTAGGCTCGATAAGTAGTAGTCCTGACCGACTGGTGTTTGGCAAATGGAGATTGCGGATACCCTGTGCTAGCGTTGTTTACTGCTGTTAATAGGAGATCCCGCACGGGCTATCTATTGGGATTAAAAGGAGTCTGGTACCTATGTTTAGTCGAGTAGTCGAATCGACATCCTTTTATCCATCATTATTGCATAAGCTTCCCTCTACAAATAAGTCCACGAACTAAATAGTGGGTTATACATTTCGATATTGGTGGATATTAACGGTTGAAGGAAGGGTGAAAGACCTTAGCACAAAGGTGTCGAGTGGTATCAGTAAGTATACCCACTGCACGAGTGATCCAAATATCAATCCAGGTTATTTTCGTATATGGCCGTCGGCGAAGGACTCGCCTTCTCGTTGTCATGCTCTTTGTGTGCAGAGCTCGTGCCTGTCACTAATAAATATATTGATTTCAATCACCAACATGTGATCCTGCACTGTGTCGCGCTGCTGAGTCAGATGCCAACGCTTAGATGTGTGACTGAGAAGGATCAAGCGTTGACGCGTTGGCAGTAATCAAAAGTTCATAATCGACATCAACCAGGTCTCCTGTTGACCAACGTTGGCTGGAGAAATTAATCAGCCTACTAGTCTTTATAAGGGTAATGATATAGACTGAAGGTGGAATGTAAAGGTGAATCCCTGCAATGTTTAATCAATGGCAAACCACTCTAGTGTTAGTGGAAACCAACAAACAATACTCAGCAGGCGCACAGAATAGAAATAAAAAGAACGAGGAATAAAGTATTTGCGGATTCATAATGTAAGCAAAAGAACCCCAGCAGCAGGAGACAAAGAGGCAATTAGCGCCACGGCTGACTACAGATTCATCTCCGCTACAAATAAAGCCAGATAGACCAAATATAGGGCTCGGGAGGCCACGTAAACTACCCCAGTTAATTGACACAGCAATCATTTCAATGGCGATAAGACGGGTGTCAATCAACTAGCTGCCTAATTGATTGAAGATAGGCGTTGGCATCAGGGAGGTGGATGATGATTTTATTTATCGTGCCAGGCTTACACCCTCCATCCAATGGACGTGACACGCATGGAGGACATCTAGAATACAAGTTCCTCCATTCTCCAGAAAAGTCCATCCGGTGCCTGACTTTTCCAAATACGTGCCTCACGCTAGTTACATCGGGTCGAATAGGTAGGAACGCATTCACCATGATCCTAAGACCATGTATTGAGGGAAAATCTTCGTGGGAAAACCTCAATAATTCCTCCTGTACTCTTTCACGACGAGCAGCCGTAGTCCCCCCTCAAACAGGCCGTGTAGGAATCCAACCTACCACTTCTAGAAAGCAAATCCAGCACCCGACCAACTGTGCCAACAGCTTGTTGAAAATCAGATATCGTTCTTCCCAAATTCTCCCCTGCATTGCGCTCAACCCCCATTTGAGAGGGCTGAAATTCCGAAATCGAGAGCTCAAAATCGAGGCATCGGTGCCCCAGCTTTTGTCGTACATCGTTCGTTGTCTAAGTGAGGCTTCTTCGTTTGCGCCGTCTTTGGAATTTGTCGAAAAGTTAAGAATGTTGATGTTGATCTCGCGGTCGAGGTGCTTGTCTAAATTGAGGCCGAGCAATTGCCCAGTCATGCAAACAATGTTAGTAAGGTTGAAAGCGAAAGGAATTTTACCTTTTATTTTGGAGGGTTTTTGGTGAGTCGTAAAGTCCTCCCAGTTAAACTCAATCGGGAAGTTGTTAGAAGACTGAATAGAAGAGACCCAAACTTAAAGTATTGATCTATCGTGCCGGGAACGGAGCCTAGCCCATGTGTCAATCGAAATCGACTGGGCCACGCTCAGCAAGCTGCCGTTGCGAAGGATGCGATTCTTTTTGGCTATCCCAGATATGCAGAGCATACTTAGCTATTACACCGGCACCACTGGAAGGTGAAGAATTCGAATTTGCCGGCCATCAGGGAGATGGACGTAATGATCGAATAATTTTAAATCATTGGAGGTGTTAAGGTAATAGGCAGAGAGCGTGAAAATAGTGGCGATGAGAGACACCTTCAGCACAGACTTAGGACGTGTCAACGTGGCGGATCTCTGTGTTTGATGCTTGCAAGCATATACTTATTTTCCTTTAGCCATCTTTCCTCGTGGGTCTGTGTACAGAGGCTGAGCGGGAAAATCTGCTGTTAATCACTCAGAAATTGGCACGTAAAATTCAACTTTAGAAATACACTGTTTTGGGAGGAAAATGCTGAAGAAACTGCTACACCATTCACAACATTAATCCCAAGCTTAACATCTTTTACGCAAGAAGGAATCTTCACCATCAAGCCAAGAGATATCTTTTTAGATTGACACTCTTAACTAGATCACAGCTCTTACCAAGAGTGTAAGTGCATAAATATAAGCATACTACGGGAGTCTAATGTTTTGTAGATATAGCGTAATAATCCTCTTATCAATTGCAGGTGCCTAGATGGATGTTTAGGAATTGAAGGCAAGTCTTAATTATTTATTCACGTTGGTATGCCATCACGCAAAAATCTACGCTAGCATCTTTGCGCTGGTTAGTCGCATTTGACTAATTAGTGTGGCGATATTAGACGATGCTTGACGTTTTATTGTTTGTAAATAGACACAAGGAGAAGTGATCATAATTCGCAGACCAAATTTTGGCTGATAATTTCGAGGAGTTACGGTCTTTGTAACTTTTAAGATCGTTAAGTTTCAGCACTACTGTGGGTGGTGTTGTAGGCATACACATTTACAGCGCGTCGTTGCCTTAAATGCACATGGAAAGTATCAGCCTTCCAACTTGGTGCGGAATCATTCCCGCGCTAAGCCAACATTCGCAGTTGAGTTTTGATAGAGATTGCGTCGCTATCTGCGTCAGAACCCCACACCATCCGTACCAAATACTATCAAATACCTCGAAGTTATCCGTCACGCATCGCAGTACACCAAAATCATATATCTCCAACTTTTATGAAGTAATCGCTGAAATTAACTCGACGCAATCATGTCAACGGAAAAAATCCCTAACAAGATTACCCTCATCAGCAATGACGGGGCCGTAATCACCGTCGGTGAGCTCACCTCCCCATAGTCTTTGGCCGTCTATTAACCACGATTTAGATAGCCAGGTTGCTATGAAGAGTGTTTTAATCAAAAACATGATTGAAGATCTCGGTGACGCCGTAGCGGAAAGTGACGTGCCTATTCCAAATGTCCGTCTGATCTTTAGTCGAGCCTAACACATCTATTAAACTTATCTATTAGGTCAATGAATCGGTCCTTCGAAAGGTGATAGAGTGGTGTGAACATCACAAACATGACCCTGCACCTGCCGCAGACGACGATAGTGACTCTCGAAAGAGGACCACTGACATCGAAGAATGGGACCAAAAGTTCATGCAGGTCGACCAGGAGATGCTTTTCGAAATAATACTGGTACTTTCACCATTCAAAATAACTTAGATAAATAATAACCTTATTCTTAGGCTTCCAACTATCTAGACATCAAACCGCTCCTCGATGTTGGATGTAAAACTGTCGCCAATATGATAAAAGGCAAGTCACCGGAGGAAATTAGGAAGACGTTTAATATAACCAACGATTTCACACCTGAGGAAGAAGAGCAGATTCGTAGAGAAAATGAGTGGGCAGAGGATCGTTAAGGTCATTTCACAACGGAGGGGTTAGGAACCTTTATACGACCCTGAGAGAGCGTAGCGCTGTATTTTCAACTACAGTCTACATTTCTTTAAAGTATCTTGAGCCCGTCGTCACTTCTCATCAATTTTAGATGGTCGATGCTTTACTATGTCACTGTTTGAAACTGAACTTAACGGTAGCTTTAAACATTACTTAACGAATTATGGAGTTACGGTGTCGGATTTGAACGCCTTTCAATCAATAGCTTCTAGTTCTAAATTGGTTGGCCTCTCTATGAAAGTTTCATAAGAAGTTCTGTTTAGGGCAGGGTCTATAGAATTCTCTCCATTATTTCACTTTACACTTGAACATCATACTCAAAAGCAATAAGGAATTTTAAGCCGAGATATTTAGTGACTTAGTAAATATTTGAATTGAGTCCGAGTCATATGCTTCAAATTTTTATTTAACCATATGCTGCGTTTGTCGCTTAACTTTATTTTGTCCGTAACAGAAATCCGGAGCCCTCTCCCAAAGCGAAAGCTGAGTATAAAATTTGTGCTGGTGCGGGATGATTGTTGTGATATGAAGGGTCGGGCGTCGAGTCAAGATACGTAGAGAAAATCATTCAGATACCGATGCGAGTCTTACGCCAATGTCTCCTTTTCGAATTGTACCTGTGCGGATAATCAGCACTTTGTTCGTGGTATGTTGCTATTTTGTCGGTTGCTAGCAATAAACTTCAAACTGTTGTGATAGTTCTCTATCTGAGTCTTTCCTACGTACCTGATTGTGTTGCCAGTCCTCAGCCGAATCCATTGGGGAATGGGTCTATTTTGCTTTTGAGCTCGTGCGAGCTTTTGCTTTGTACGAAAGGATTTGTGACTCTACATTGATTTAGGTCAGTTTTTAGATGGGTTATTTAAGTGAGTAAATTTCATAATGAAATGTCTCTTGTATGTAGCAGCAAAATTTGGATTCTGCATTTAATTGAAAAGCATCTTTGGGATTCCGAAATCATGGTTAAACATACCGGCATGTTTTCAAACTGTCGAATTGACGAAATTATCTTGGTGCTGACAGGCAATAGATCAGAAACTGTAACTTAAATCCGACGATTGTGGGCTTCGCTTGGAGTCATATATCACATGATCTATAGCTATCCCTTATTAGCGATAGTGGAAACATAACAGCCTTGCTTAGATAATCTCAGGTGGATACGTACGCGTTTGAGACGATTATTGCAACGTGTAGGAAAGAGTCACAGATCACATGAGTACTGAGAACTCAAGCGCTGTACCTGCTTCTGAACTTCGCCGCAGTGGTTGGATAGCGCGCCAATCGAAGAGATACTACGACAATCTGAAGAGGCCAATTGTAACGATACATGCACTTGGAAACTCATTGAAGAAAAGGCACACACGGCATTATGGGGGGATGGTACTCCAAGCTGTCGGCATTGGTGTGGTCAAAGAAAGAGATTCGAATTCTGATTCTAGGACTGGTATGCTACCGACATGTAGCGATGAGATACAGAGGGCAGAATTGCTAATAACCCATGAATTTCAGGATAACGCGGGCAAGACTACCTTACTATACAGACTAAAGGTTTACTTCTATCGCGGCCAAACCAGTAGGAGTTTCAAATTAATTTGAAAATAGATTGGCGAAGTGGTAACGACAATACCAACTATTGGCTTTAATGTGGAATCAATTGTATTCAAAAATTTAAACTTTAACGTTTGGGCAAGTTCGGCCTCAAAGACGCCTACCTCGCCGCTTACAAATGTTAGGACCTGGGTGGCCAAACTTCCATACGTCCTTACTGGAGATGCTACTACTCAAATACAGCAGCCGTAATATTTGTTATAGATTCGACTGATATTGATCGACTTGGCACAGCCTCTGATGAGTTAGCGGCAATGTTGAACGAGGATGAGCTTAGGGATGCCGCGTTACTAGTGTTCGCGAATAAGCAAGACCAACCTGGGGCAAAGGGAGCTGGTGAGATCAGCGAAGCCCTAAAGCTAGGCGAATTAAGAGACCGGAACTGGAGTATAGTGGCATGTAGTGCTGTAGATGGGAGCGGCGTGGATGAGGGCATGGATTGGCTTGTGGCAAGTAGTCCAAGAGGCTGGCTTAGAATCGGCATACTGACTTAACTTAGGAAACGGTAAAGCAGGATGCTTAGGGGACAATCAGTAACGTTATAACTCGATAATTTTTTACAGTTTTTCACATCAGTGGCACGAATTTTAAAACCCGAAAGCGCAAATCAAATACTGCGCTGGCGCTTAAACGTGCCAAATTACAGGGAGAGTGAAATGCCCTGGAGTTGGTGGGACTAGTTGATGGATCACTGGTTCCGCAGGATCAAATAAAGATAAATTGACAGACTACCTCGGATTCACTACATAGCTCAACATGACTTAAAAAAGAGTCATAAGTAACGTCTTGGTTAGCTGTTGTAGAATATAGAAGCATATTTTGACAGGTCATTTAAATAATTTACTTTGCACACATGTATATTAAGCTAGCCTAACCGCAACATTTCTGATTTTATAAGATAACCTAACTTCCTAGATGACTGTAACTGATCTTTTTTCTAAAGCTACCGACAATCAGGAGCAGTGCCAAATGCAACCAACAATTTTTCACGTGTATCTTTCTAACTCATGTTGGCTAAGCTCTATTTTTTTGTGTAGGAAGGCAATTTACAACATCCACATTCTCAACTTTCATTGCGCCGACACTGTCCCACTCACACTATTCAGCACAAACCAATTAAAGCCTTTTTAAAATTGTTCATCGCACTTGTCGTGGCCAAGTCACAACAACCTCCCTCTTTCACCCAGTGCCTCGCTGCTGAGCTCGGCCTTGTTCAGCGCGTGGCAAAAGGTCGAACTGCATCAGTTCAAAACTTCCACACCAAGTTTTGGACAGCCGTTGAAGAAGCCGATCCTCTTATAAAATCCTTCGTGCGTGAGTAAATGGACGCATTTCTCCTAGCGGTTGCTTCCGGTAAACCTATGCTCGACGACACTCCAACACAGCCCAAGCCGGCGAGCTCCATACCCCAGCCCCGCCAAAACATCCCCTCATAACCTCTTGCTCCCATGTCAAATCATCCTCATAAATGGGCAGCAACCGTCGCAGGCCCACCCGCCTCTGTTCCCTCAGCTTCGGCCCAACCTATCTCCAACAATCGAAACCCTCGCGCAGTTGTGCAAAAGCCCACCGTAAAATCTAAGGGTCCTAAAGCCATCTTCCGCTTGACAGAGGGAGCCCCTCTCTTAAGAGTAGATGCCACGGCTGTTAAAGCTGCTCTCATTAAAATTCTCCCTGACCTCAAAGATGAGTGTCTCCGTTTCCCGTACCTGAAGAGCATTTGGCATGACTTTTTTGTTCGAGAATTCGCTAAAACTTTCCATGGAATACGCCGACCTTATCAATGCCTCTCTCAGGAACTTTACATCAGGGAGAAGATCGCATTGGATATATTGACAAGCGCAATCCACGTACCATTTAGAATCCGTTGTCCAATCTTATTTCCTCTGTATTTAATGATATCAAGAACATAGCTAAGGCGTAGACGGGTGTTGCCCCATCAAGCGCCCACTGATCGCAGCATCAGAACCACGATATTTTTCATACGGCGGTATATTCTTTCCAAAAGAGGCCCCTACTTTTTGTATCGTCTACAGCGTCCTATCACGGCGCTACATCCAAAACCCAAAGCTAGTCAAATGCGAAGCTTGTTTTAGGATCCAAAAATATTCTCGCTGCCTAATTCAAGCTTTGTACGCTTTCTGTGGTACGCTCCGCCATCAAGGGAAATGCACTCATCTTCGTCGGTGTACCGACTGTTTGGGACCACACCCAGCTAATGATCACACCTGACCTCTGCGACCTTGTGTTTACAAGGGCAAACTTATCCAGCTCTCTGAAAAAGAGGTTTCTGAAATTCACTTTAACAACCGCAGTAAGCTCCGTGAGGCTCGTCCTGCGGAAAAAGCTGCCGCTGCTGCCTCTGAAATCGGCAACACTGATGGTTCGATTCTTACCACTACAGCCTTCACGAGCTCCTCACTACCTACTTTTTCCGCTAGGCAGAATAGGTTTACTGCACTCAAAAACGCCTCGTTTGGCTCTATGGACGTATATCCACAAGAAAAAGCCACCAATAATGCCCATGACCTTGGCCTCTATAAAAAATAAAGCATATTTCAGGAGCACCCTACCGCTTCGTCTTCGATTCATTAAGGCAAACGTTGGACGAGGTGAATCTCCTTACCTTATTCTTTTACAAGCCGCATTCGAGGCCAAGTATGATATAATATTTGTCCAGGAATCTTAGATTAAAACAATAAATTCTAAAAACGTTACGAAGTCCCACCAAGCCTACGTTATTTTTACTTCTCCTGATCGAGACTGAAAGCTTGCGCGCCCACGTGTACTCAGCTACATCCAGACAAGATCCAACCTTTGTCCTATCCAGCTAGACAGTGGGCCTTTACCAGACATTGTAGCCCTCCAGCTTCAATTTTCTCCTCCATTGGGGTCATCAACGTCTACCGTCAGCCTCAAGACTATATGCCTGAGAGTCATTAACCACTCTTGGATTGGCCGGTGAAGTCGAACTCCATAATTGTGGGCGATTTTAATCTTCATCACGAATTATGGGAGCATAATATCTCTCGTTCGTCCTGAGTCGGTAGCTTTATTGACTGGGTCGAAAAACACTCTTTGAGGTCGGCTTTACTGTATGGAGCTTTCACTCATCGAGCTGGACACATCCTCGACCTAGTTCTAACGAACATGTAAGGACTACTGGCTCGTGTGGACCCTGTAGTTCACTCAATATCCGACCATGAGACATTATCTGATTTATTCCACTTCTCTCCAGCTCAAAAGCGATAATCGTTAATGAGGCAGCCCAAATTTACTAACAAGGATACAGAGAGATTCCGCCAAGCTCACAGCGAGTTATTCTTGCACCTCCTTCCGTAGCTGAAGATGAAGTGCGACAATGTCTTCTTGATACATCTTCCACGACCCCAGGACATGACCATATCTCAGTTGTTGCTCTTCGCCATACCGATTAATTAAACTCATGGCGTGGGTGTATCATAAACTTGTACAGTCTCTGCCTGACATATAATAATTATCCAAATATTTTTCCCCGCGCTGAAGTTGTGGTTCTACCTAAACCTTTCAAAGATTATCTCACTGACGCCGCAAACTGGCGACAAATCTTGCTCCTTTCTGTTCTTGGTGAAGGGCTATAACGCCTCTATGGACGACTTTTCGCTTTCTGGGCTGTGTTAAGTCGCATTATCTCTCTAACACTACTCGGAACTCTGCCAGAAAGATCAATTATGGACCTCGTTGAGGGCCTTGTCCATGATGTCGAGAAGGTATGGGATGCGAAGCAGGTTTGCACTCTAGCTACTCTTGACGTCGAAAGCGCTTTTGATTGTGTTCAGCCTAGCCGCCCATCTGCCCGTTTGCGCGAACAGAGATGGCCATTATAATACGTTAGCTGAGCTGCATTTTTTACTTGTAGAAAAGCCCGGCTCCGAGTGGACGATTATGTTGGCGAATTCTTGGACATTCCGCACAGTTTGCCTTAAGGATCTCCTGCTTCAATCATACTTTTCCTCCTTTTCTTTGAGCCTTTGTTTAGACTCTGCTCCCATTTTTTGGAAACGTCGATGATGTGGCTATCCTCTCGGTCGCTAAGACTCCGGTATAATCCTCAAGCCTCACTGTCGCCAAGATTGACACAGTCACCCATTGGTTTAACAAGAATGAACTCGCTAGCTGAGAATAAGTTGAACATTTTGCATTTTTATAGATCCCGCTAACCCTTTCCTTCTTTGACCATCAATGATGTCGTAAAAGATGCAAGCCCAGCAGTATGGTGTCTCGGTGTCCTCCTCAACACTAAGCTCTATTTCACAGAACATACCAAAGTTTGGAGTGCTAAGACACAACGAATTAGCGCCCACATACGTCAGCTTGGCAAAACTAACCGTGGTAAGCCCACTTCCTTTCTTCGCACTTCAGCCCTGGCTGCTATCCCATAAATCCCCTCTTATCCGCTCTCGAGCAGAATCTTACACTCATGAACTTTCCGGGCGTATTAGAGCACTGCCACACTGGGACATCCTTGACTTCTCAGATAGCTCAAAGCAAAAAGATGGGTTTGCCGGGGCAGGTGCTGTCATTCTGCATAAGGGCGTCACTGTAGCTGAAGTGAGAGTGCTTCTTGGCCCTGATTGTGAGGTCTATGACTCTGAGATCATCGGAGCACTCGCAGGGCTTAAAGCCGCTATAGCAGCCCCTACATCTCACCTTGCAACCAGCATCTATATCATCTTGGACAATCAAGAGACTTCACAGCGACTATTGGACATCTCACCCTCAAAGTCTTCGTAAACCGAAATTTTGGAATTTCAAGACCTTGTATCTCGCTGTACATCAAGGACGATTCTTCCCATCGCAGCTCCTGGAAAATTTCACGTGATATGGTCTGCTAGTCACATGGGTATCACAAGAAATGAGCTGGCCGATAAGTTGGCTGGAGAGGCTGCCCAACAACCGGCTCCTCCTGCTGCAACTCTTGCCGGAGTCCGCGCTAAGACAAATAGACGTATATGAGACATGACCACCGAATGGTGGCAGTCTCATGCTCCCTCTACCCACTGTGAGCTAGGAACACCATTACCCAAGAAGCGCCCCGAGGAGCTTCGCTTCCCTCCTCGCTCTCTTGGGTATCAAATTCAATTTCGGACTAGACACGGTGAATTTCATGCTCATCATGAAAGGTTTCAACATGAAGATGCCTTCATTACTTGCTCCTGAGGGAGAGGCAAGTTAATCACCTACTCAGTTTTTTGCCCCCTACGTTCGACAGAGGCTGGCCTTTGCCAGTCTCCGATGAAGTCTGGGGTCTCTCAATTTTTCTCTCGGCACCTCCCGTGTTGCTAAGCGATTCGCCTCAATATTGGAAAAGGCTAAGTTTCTATCTGGAATATGCCCTAGCCGCACCGTGTGATCTACTAAGGTGAGAAATAATCTGCACAGCACTCATAATATCTTAGAGGAAATAAATTTTCAAGGCCTCTTAGTGTCCAACTGTAAATAAATATATTTGCGAAATCATCATCATTTGGTCATAGCGGCATCACTTTTCACGAACG